AGCGGCATGATCACGGCTCACTGCAGCAACCTCCCAGGCTCAAGCAATCCTCCCACTCAGTAGCAGGGGCTGCAGGCATGCATCACCATACCTGGCTAACTTTTAATTTTTCTGTAGAAACAGGGTCTCCCTGTGTTGCCCAGACTGGTCTTGAACTTCTGGGCTCAAGTGATCCTCTCACCTCAGCCTCCCAAAGTACTGGGATTAAGGCATGAGCCACTATGCCTACCCGATCTTAATTTTTAAAGACTTTGTATGCTTATATACATTTTAAAAGCTGGTTAAAAAATATGTGCTATTTAGGGATATATAGGCATAGTGAGTTTATGGACAGGCAAAGCAAAAATAAACATCAAACTCAGCAAAGCAAAAGTTTTGCAAGGGTCCTTGGCATCACCGTTAAAGGCGTATTTCTTCAGTTGCATTGGTAGCTATGTGGGATTTTCTGTTAGCTTTACACCATTTGTATGTCTGAAGTATTTCATAATGAAAAAAATTTAAAGGTTTGTATATAATGACAGGAAGAAAATACATCAACTGTAGCTATGGCTTTGAGGTGGGATTGTCAAACTATTGTTCATATTTTCCATTTTTTCTAGAGAACATATATTCCCTTTTATTTTTACATTTTATCATTGGAGGCTATTTTTATTTCCACCCAGAGCACATTTGTTTTATGAGAAAGAATGCCTGGTGCTGACCTGCACCCTGCAGCGGGAGTTCTGGCACCAAGGGCCTTTCCTGGGATGACATTAGCTACAGCATCTCCCCGTCATTAGAATTTAAAGTAGAAAAGTGCTGTGGGGGAGGCAAGCACCCTGAAACCATCCTACTCATATCCTCTGACGTGAGAGGAGATTTGTAGGCGGCTGCTGGGAGCCTTCTCCACTCAGCAGATTGCTCTCAAAAGTGTACGTTGCTTTTTATTTTCCCTCAGAAATAGTGTGTGTTCTAACCCACCAGGAAGTTGGGGACCCAGCCAGGAGATTGGGTGAGGCGGTGGGAAAAAATAGTGACCTATTATATCATCAACTAGCTTTGACTCTCCAGTCAGAATTCATTTTTCACCAAGTGCTGGGGTGGAGGGCCAGAAAACAATTATTTGGAGACATGTCACCCATCACCGAGCTTTCAGACCCTTCCAGTTTCCTCAGTAAGAGAAACTCTTACCATGGGGTCTTGGCTGGGATCCATGAATCCCCTGAAATCACACATCAATCTTGTAAAATTTCCTGTGCTATCATCAGATGCCTGAAAGAGTAAGTGATGCATCCCCAAAACAATCAAGGATCCCTGTTCTGTAAGAATAAGCTCTTTTCTTAGCTTACCCTCTCCTATTTGGGTCAAGTTCCATAGGAGGTTAGAGAGAGGGGCTCAGTAGGAAAACTCCCTTCCAGGCACCTCTCAGAATCGTTATCTGAGGCCTTAAAATAAAGCAAGATGTCACTGGGAATGTTTGGTGTTATCATCACTCAGATACCCTGAAGGCAGTGGTCCCTGGGCCATGGAAAAGGCTGCACAGGAAGAGGTGAGTGGCCAGCAGGCAAGCAAGCAAAGTTTCATCTGTATTTACAACCACTCTCCATCTCTCTCATTACCTCCTGAGCTCCGCCTCCTGTCAGATCAGCTGGGGAGACTTTAGATTCTCATAGGAGCACACACCCTATTGTGAACTGCACATGCAAGGGATCCAGGTTGCGGCTCCTTATGAGATTCTAATGCCTGATGATCTGTCACTATCTCTTGTCAACTGCAGACAGGACCGTCTAGTTGCAGGAAAGCAAGCTGAGGTCTCCCACTGATTCTACATTACGATGGGTTGTGTAATTATTTCATTATGTATTACAATGTAATATTGATATAAATGAACACAATAAATGTAAAGTAATTGAATCCACCTGAAACCATTCCCCCAACCCCACTCAGTCAGTGGAAAACCGTCTTCCATGAAACTGGCCCCTGGTGTCAAAAAGGTTGGGCACTGCTGCTATAGGGCACTTACTTTTTAAACAAAGGGGGATTTAGTCTGTGTTAATATTTCCCACTTTAAGTCACAGATATATTTCTTTAAAAGAGGTATACATTAGGTGAGTTCACTGTTTGTTTTATTTTTTAACCCATCAACAGTATTTATCAAGAATCTACCATGCACCAGCCTTGGGCTGGGACTCAATGAAAACTTGACTATGATCCCCAAGTCCTGTCCCCTCATCTAGCAATTTCTTGTTCAAAGCACACATCTGGTGAATGTCTTACGACTTATCAAATGGAATAAAAATTGAGAGTTACTCATATTACTTTCCCAAAACCTCGTATCCTCTGGTATGAGTCATCCAGTGGGACCCACCTTTAAAAAAAATTTTTTTTAAAGATACTTTCCACTATACATAGAAACAGTTCAAAAACAACTCTTCAGTAACACTGCCAGTTAGCTCAGGGATAGTGACTCTATTGGATATCATCATTTAAATGCACAAAGATAAAGATCCTTTGAGTAGCCCACAGAGGCCATTTACTCATTAGAGCAATTAATTTATTGGACTCAGATATTCATTCCACCATTGTTGCCTTTATGGCAAATCCTCTTCTCCTGAGTGGCTCTATCTACCATTTAATTCCATTCAACTCATCTCTCCTGAGTGCCTACTGGGAGCAAGTTACTTAAATTTAGTCATATTCTCTCCATGGCCACATCTGGATCTGTCACACCCTCTGTCATCACTGTATGACTCTAACGGTCAGTGGAATCTGCAAAACAGCAGTTTTCAGGTTCCTCCAACAGCTTCTAGAATTCTTCCAACTTCTGCAATAATTATAATACTATGTGGCAATAAATGGAGGAAACTCAGCCCTGGTTGCCAAGATTCAGGAAAAATGCCAGGTAAATCAGAAATGAGTCTGTCCAGAGCTGATTCCCTAAGCATAGGGATTGGTCATGTTGGTGGTAATGGGGTAGATTTATCTTCTATACAAGTCTCTTTACTGTGACAAAACATAATAGACAAGATGGTTAAGAAAAAGAGAAACATCATCCACAGCTGCATGAGAAGAAAAGAAGCCAAATTGTTCATTATCTGAGGCTTGTGACCTTGATGGGAAGTCAAGGCCATTGATGCCAATCAAGACAAAAATCAAATCACAATTCATAATTGCAAATAGTCCTTTAATACAAGGTTGGTGGTTCTTCGGTAGAAATCATCTAGAGACATGCTTTCCTGAAAAACAGACATCAATATATACTTGGGGGAAAAATGCAATGTGAGGCATGGTCTTAGAAGTGACCTGGATTGAAGTCTTGCCTGAATCATTACACCTCCAGGGCTTCCACTTTATTATAATTTGCAGAGGGGTCTGGAATACACACATGGTGGCTAGGGGCTCTGTAAATTCTGACAGTCTTTAAATGCTGAAAATCTTTAAATTCTAAAAGTAAACTTCCACAAAATTAAAAAGATTCAAACACAAAAGAATCTTACTGCTAAGAGGAATTCCATAGACTTCAGTTGTCAATAACAAAATATTAAATGAGTAAAGTAAAACCCAGAGGAACATCATCTTTTTGTCCTGTTCACCATGGCAACCTAGTAAACTGGCCCAACGCTATCAGTCTGAGGGTCTAAAGATTGGAACAAGCTAAACCAGATGTTAAACAAGTCTAAAATAGACACTCAAGTACATTAACTAATGCCAGTTCAAGTTCTATCACGGCTGTCTGTATCACAGAAAACTCTGCAGTAATTAAAACTAGTTAAAAGCATTGTTCACACTGGTAATAATGTTATCAATTAAGTACCTTACAATCCATATCCAATGAGTTTCCTTTCCGCAATGATTTTGGAAGGTCTGATCCCAACCCTTTTTTATTTTTTAACAAATGAAGGAACAGAGGTTCAGAGAAGGGAAGTGACTCGTCCAAGGTATGCTATTAATTATATACAGAGCCAGAACCATGACTCAGTTCTTTATTCCTAGCATGGAAACCTTCTCAGCTCTTAAGACTAGCTTTCCCGGTCTCCGTAGAGGAGAGAGAGCAGGGCCTAATGTTAGATGGATCCACAGAGCACAGTGGTTAAAACTCCAGGGTTGTGCAAATGACGAACAGACAGGGGGAGCCCAGGGAGGGCCTATTCCTATTCCACCTCCCAGCCCCTGGATAATGAGGGCATCAGAGGCCGAGGTAGCCTTCCCAGTTGCATCAGTGGGGAGACAAGATGGCCACACAAAGAAAGCTATGAAATTAAGTCTCCAAGGACATGCTCTGAAACAAAGCCAAGAAAGCTTTTCCACCTTGATCATCACCAACAGTCAACTACCAAGTCATCTGAGCATCTTCTGCAAACTTCTGATTTTAAAGAAAAGCACAATGAGGCAAACATTTGGTATTTTTATCTGTCCCAGTATGTACCAGACAATGTTTAGCATTCTCACTTTTATTGTTTTATTTGACCCTCTCCCAAATTTTGTCAGGTTAAGTCTTTTCATCCCTGTTTTCCAGATGAGGAAACAGGTAAGGAAAGACGTCACACGATGGTAAGTATAGAATCTTGATTCAAACTAAGATCTACTGATCCAAAACCACTCAACTCCACTATGCTACTGGAGTCTTCTTCTGGCCTTTGGGCCATCCGGCTGCCTGAGCTGGGCCAAGCCACTAACATCCCCCAAAAGGGGGACAAACATCTGTTCCATCTTTTGGAACCAGCCTCTAAAAGAGCACACTGGTATTTATCTAGATTCTACCCAGATGCACTGAGTTCATAACTCATTTTATGAGAGAATAGACACAGGTAATAAACAACTTGGCTTGGAAGTTTAAGTTGGCCATACAGCTTTCTCCAGTGAAATAAAATGATTCTTGGTTTAAAAAAAAACTTCCCTGGGTCACAACTTCCATAGTCAGATCCTGGAAGCACACTTCAAGCACACAGCACATTAGCAAATAACCTTCAGAGAAGCAAGATGCTCCCAGCGCCAGGGGAGGTAGAAAGGACTGTACTTACACTTATGTCGAGACTGCAAAGGCTAACAGCATCTTCATCTTGGGTGCTCTGCTTCCGTTTTCGCTGCAACACAAATGAAAAAACAAAGTTGAAAGGTAAATAGGGATTATGGCTTTGATTAAGGCAAGAAAAAAGCAATCAAATAGCACATGCAGTCCTTATCATTTCCACTGTGTTACCCAAAACCTTTAACCAAGCTATGTAAACTTTTTTTTTTTTTTTTTTTTTGAGACGGAGTCTTATTCTGTCACCTAGGCTGGCGTACAGTGGCGTGATCTTGGCTCACTGCAACCTCTGTCTCCTGGGTTCAAGTGATTCTCCTGCCTCAGCCTCCTGAGTAGCTGGGATTATAGGCATGCACCACCACGTACAGCTAATTTTTGTATTTTTAGTAGAGACGGGTTTCACCAAGTTGATCAGGCTGGTCTTGAACTCCTGACTTCATGCTCTGCCAACATCAGCCTCCCAAAGTGCTAGGATTACAGCATGCCACTTCCCCTGGCCTGTAAATTAACACTTCTAAGAAAGCCTAAGAAGTTATGAGAAAATATTAGGCTCCAGGGTAATTGGTTTGCGTTATTGTTATTATTCTTATGCATGCTGTTTGTTTCTGAGTTTCCTTTTTTTCTAAATGTCTCCATGTATCAAAGCTCAAAAATTTAGATACAAAGTTTAGATTCTGACTAACTTGGAAGAGGAGATTAGATTGGAAAGAAAATCTAATTCGCTTGAAGATATTCCATTTTTAGAGCTGCATTGCACTTAGCTAATTTAAATTTGCTCTAAACCTTATCCAGTGTCCTAATGCAATCACAGAACCATAATGTTGAAAAGAAACCTAGACATCTTCTCCAACTTTCCTACTTTATAGCCACACAATTTTTAAAAAGTTATTACTTGGACTGAAGATAATTATATTTGAAGTAAATCTGTAAATTTATGACCAGGGCAGTCTGCCAGCCAAGTTAGATGTAAAAAGTCTTTCTTTTTCTTTCTTTCCTTTCTTCCTTCCTCCTTTCCTTTCCTTTCTTTTTCTTCCTTCCTTCTTGCTTCCATCTTTTCCTTTCTTCCCTCCCTCCCTCCCTCCCTTCCTTCCTTTTTCTTTCTCTTTCCTGCCTTCCTTTCTTCCTTCTCTCTCTTTCTCTCTCTCTCTTTATTTTTTTTCCACAGGGTCTCCCTCTGTTGCTAGGCTGGAGTGCAGTGGTGTGAACACAGCTCACTTCAGCCTTGACCTCTTGGGCTCAAGCAATCCTCTTGCCTCAGCCTGCTAAGGACCTGGGACCACAGGAGCACACCTCCACACCAGGCTAATTTTATTTTTTGTAGAGATAGGGTCTTGCCATGTTGCCCAGGCTGGTCTCAAACTCCTGGTCTCAAATGATCCTCCTGCCTTGGCCTCCCAAAGTGCTGGGATTACAGGAGCGACCTAATGACCTGGCCCCTTTTCTTCTCATAAGAAGAAAATAAATTTAATCTACAAGCCACAATAAAGCTCATAAAAGATGCATTCACCTTTCTTCTGTACCCCCAACTCAACCAACCAGTCAAGTGTTTCTTCAGTCCCTAACCTGTGACTTCCTAAGTCTTCTGATGTTACTTAGAAGAAAGGTACCAGAAGACCAGAATCACTGGCATGGGGTTACAAGAGAGTGTGAAGACTTCTGTAGTCTTCAATCCCAAATGGAGTCTGCGTCCTCCTCCTCTAATGGAACCCTGAGCTTGAACAAAGGCAGAGGTTGGAAAGCAAAAAGAATTGCGATGTTCTATATTACTATAATTCTTCTATTATTTTTTCACTCAATTTAACAAAGGTTTGTTGAACATCTACTATGTGCCAGGTCCTGTGTTTGCTCCCACGAATGCAAAGGTTAGAAATTCCTATGGTAAAGAACCTCACACTCATGTAGGAGAGACAGGGCTATTATGAAGAACTATAATACAATAAGAGCCAAACACTCTAGAGAAAGTAACTTTGCTTCTCTGAGTCACCTTTTCTCAACTCTAAGGTGTAAGCAGAGGTGGTAGTGATGGCATTACCTTCTATTTTCAAAGGAGGAGGAGTAAATATAGTAATGCATTTTAGAGCTTAGTAGAGTCCCTGGTACAGAGTAGGTGCTTAAAACATGGTTTAGAGGGCTCTGGAAGGACAGTGAGGAACATTTTTCCACAGGAGGAGGCATTTGAATAGACCTAAAGGAGGAATAAGAGTTTGTCATACAAAGATGGGGAAGAGATTGGGACTTCTTTTTGCTAAGGAGCTACCTAGATATTTTAAATCCAAAAGGTCCACATGGCCCTATCAGAGCATTGGTGCTCCTGATCTATGCACTTTTCCACTGAAGCAGTGGTACAGCATGTAGCAGAATCACCTGAGGAATGATTCAGAGATGCAATGCCAGGAGCCATCCCCAGGAATGCTTACTCAGCCACTTGGTAGGCTGCCCATGAATCTGCATTAACAAGCTCACTCAGTGACTTTTAGGAAGTCCAATACTCCACTCAGGGTCCTTAGCGGGGAGCCTTGATAAGATGGTAATCACAACCCCAGGCACAGTTTGCCATGTTTTGTATAGGGCCCTAATCCTTACTAATTCACCATCCAGAAACAATTAAAAACAGCACTTCAGTTCCAGTGAAACCAATTCACCAGCTTATATTTATATGGTGACTTTTTGAGCCAGATATGGTATGGGATAATTTCCATTCTACAGGTTAATAAACTGAGGTCAGGAGAGAGAAGCAATTTGCTCACAGTTACATAGTTACAGCATAACACTCTGAATCCAGGATTCTAATTCCTAGGGCAAAGCCTTTTACATATACTGTTCAAAGCACTGGTGCAAATAGGTTATGTCTTACTTGCCATCCAGAATGTCTGGTAGTGTCTGCTTGAGCAACGTACTGAAAAGGACTGCACAGCATAGCAAGTCAGAGAATGCAGTGATCACAATTAGCAGCATGTGCTGGGCAACGAATTGGGCATGGTAGCAAGGGTGTCCTGCTGCCTAGAGTAACCCCATGCCCTTCCTGAGTTCTGCTTCTCCTGCCTTGGGAGGCTATAATATTATACCTGGGATCTTGGGAGGTATCAGGAGGAGGTTGACACTCTGGGATGTTATCTGTAGAGTAGAAATAATGCCTTCCAGGATAGGCTGTTGTGAGGATCACCGATGTTGGGTGACAGGACCTGGCACGTAGTAGGTGCACAGTAAGTGGCAGCTCCTGTTATGAACTGCCCAGATTGTGGTTACACCCATACATGCTGCAACCTGGTATTACCAGATTATTGAGTTTTATGGTGCTACAGTTCTATTCCTAGAGTTTATGATTTTGTCAGCCTGACATGTTAATAGTAGCCTAGATGCACACTGATGCAGGGTCAGGGGATTAAGAGAAGCTCTTTTTCTCACAGCTCTGCAACCCTCTCCAGACCAATTCAGTACACTACCCAGTGTTGGAGCCCAGCCTCATGAGCTCCCCTAACCCAGTTCCTGCTAGATACTGCCACCAGCCCCAAGTGTCAAATCTGGAAGACAAATGGCCTCCAATTGTCTTTTTAATTCAGCCGTAGACAGTTGATCTGGGTTAGAATGATCTCCTTAAGGAAGCCACACATTTTATAAAATAAAAACTGTATGGATTTAAAAAAATGAATTTTCTTTTTCAATTTTCTTATATAGGGAGGTGACTGGCCACTGCTAGCAACAAAAAAGTAGCCTGAAGTTGAAACTCTGGGCTCAGAACAAAAATTTCACAAACCATAGCTTAGTCGTTTGTTCATTTGCTCTGCGTTTACTGAGCACTTTTTACATGCAAAGCCCAATTCTGGGTCCCGGGATATAGCAGTGAATGAGCCAGGCATGTTCCCTGCCCACTGGTTTGGAATAAAAATAAAACAAAGTAATTACAGATTGTCCCTGTTATGAATGAGTCATATAAGGTGCTAAGAGAGAGGCCAGCAGGGCAGATCCATCTTAGATAATTTTATGGGTCTGTTTTCTGGGTTTTGGTTGACCTTTTCATGAGACATAAGTCCATGAAAGCAGGACTTGGTCAATCATCATCACAGTCCCAGAGCCTGGGACAATCCCTAGGACAAAGCCAGCTTCCCTTCAAATAGTCTGGATTTTCTTGATGCTCTTGGTCCTCCTCCCTTTGCTTATCCTCTTTACCAATTGCCCAACTCCAGGGGGCCACAGGAGGAGAGTAGAAAGGACCAATGGGCACCCAGGTGAAGAAGGGCATGCAGGTGGAAAAGCCACACACAGGCAGCATTTGATGTTCTACCCAGGAACTAGGATTTCTAGAACATTGGGATGCTGAGCTCATGCCAGTGATCTACAGAGCACCTTATGGAAGAAATCACCAGTTGGAAATAAGCCATGGAAACGTAAACAAATGAGCATCTCAGAAAGCAGAGAGTGCAACAGGACACTGCATTCACTTTGAACTTCACCGGAGCTATTAATGATGACAATAATTCAGGCTGATAGTAACGGAAACTTTAGCCTATTGAACACTCACTACATGTCAGGCACAGAACTAAATCCTTATAAGCATGACCTCATTCAATCCTCATAACTACCCCATGAGGTAGGTAGATATGAAGGCTCAAAAAGGGTCAGGAATTTGTCCAGGGTTTCAGGATTAGCAAGTGGCAGAGCCTGGATTCAAATCCAGTTCTGTCCTACTTCAAACTATGTGCTTCCCCACCATGCTGTCCCGTCCCAGAGTCTGGGATGGCACATCAGACCTGCACAGAAGGTCTAAGAAGGTGTTGAGCATGAGGAATATGGCAAGAAAATAATTTGCATTCTACTAGAGAGACTGGTCTTCAAGACCACAGCACACACTGTCTAGACCAAATCAATTTTGTGGTCCGTTCTAGTTTTAAGAGCTATCAGGTAGCAGGCATTGGTGGCAAGCATTGGTGGCAGATAGGTTATGTCTCACTTGCCATCCAGAATGTCTGCTAGTGTCTACTTAGAGCACTGTATTGAGAAGGATTGTACAGCATAGCAAGCCAGAGAATGCTATGATCACAATTAGCAACATGTGCTGGG